GAAAAAAAATACTAATGTTGAACTTTAAGATGTACAAATTTAAAACAATGGATCTTTAGTCTTACAAAAAGTCATAAAAATGATCTAAATTCCTACAAAAACCATTAACATGGTTGTTAATCTCGTCACCGACCAGATTGAGTCTGGATCTGTACTCCTGGACATCTATGTACAATAGATATCAAATCCTTACAAAATAACAAGTACAAAGGTAAGTTTATGTATAAACATGTTACAACAAATCTGTTTAGAAACATTATATCTTAATTAATAAGATGCTATATAAACTACAAGTAGAATTAAGTTAGACTAAATGATAAACTACATAATTATGATAACAGTTCATTACAAACAGGAAGTTACTCGTTAATAAGGGTCTACGCTAATTAACTAATTACCCTATATATTAGTTATGAAACTGACGGTTAATTTTGATGTTTTTCATCTTTGGTACAAAACAACAAAAACGCAAATTAGATTAATGAAAAATTTCGGTCAAGTCATGTAAATTAGAATCACAATAATAATTAGAGGCTCTTATATACCGCTTTATCACAACCTAGTTCGTAGGTCGTCTCAAAGCGGTTCGGCACTCACAGCTAGCATTCTACAATTCTAGCTCTGCCTAACCACATACTCATTTACAGCTGAGTAAACTAGAACAAGCGAAGTAAAGTATCTTGCTCAAAGATACAACACAGTGCCGTGCCGTGACTCAAACCCGCAACCCTCCGGTCACGAGCCCGGCGTCCTACCACTAGACTGCCGTGCGTCATCACTTCCCTGCATTACAGTTTGTGTTATATGTACATAGATGGAATAAAGATGAAGGAGCAGTAAGTAAGATAAATAAAGGGACTATAAACAAACACCATGGTGTCCATACATTAAAGAGTTGTGGGAAGTTAACTCTGGATCCATGTTGGAGAATAACTGGACAAAACTGTGAGAGTTCCCAAAGTCCAGGGTTACTCAGTACAACTCCAGGGTTACTCAGTACAACTCCAGGGTTACTCAGTACAACTGTAGGGTTACTCAGTACAACTCCAGGGTTACTCAGTACAACTCCAGGGTTACTCAGTACAACTCCAGGGCTCATAATTTGAAGATTTTACATTGTATGTCGGGGCCAGTCAAAAGTTTCAGTATTTTCATTAAATTGGTAGATTTTTTGAAGTTTCTGTGGGCGTTATGTGCCATAAATATAGAAGCTTTAATTCACATGATAGGATTATGACGCTCTTTGAAACTGTAAGGGATTCAACTCTTGTGACCCTCCTGGGACACTAATGTTTTACCATCAGGATCCCAACCCTGCCGGACCTGTTTACTTGGAATAGTTGTTAAGCACCATGCTCAATTCCTGGTGGCTCTACACTGAGGTCCCATCGGGGCCCTAGAACTCTACACTGAGGACCCATCAGGGCCCTAGAACTCTACACTTAGGACCCATCAGGGCCCTAGAACTCTACACTGAGGACCCATCAGGGCCCTAGAACCCTACACTTAGGACCCATCAGACCCCTAGAACCCTCAAATGACTATATATTTGAGACAAGGGATCCAAAATCTTTGGGAAAAACAAGGACAGAAAAATTAAATTTGATTATTTTCCCATGCATAATACATATTGTAGTACAATACTAAGAAGGAAATAACGCTCATGCAAAACTATCTATCTACTGATTTAGTTTATAACCCTATCAGTACAATCAGGTGTCCTTTGAAGATGTGAAACATTTGATCGTTGCACATCAATATAGATATTCATAATGTCAAAGGTCATATATGCAGATTGCAGGTAAGGTTTTGAATGAGTATGATAGGCATCATGTAGATCAGCGTTTAATGTTATGCATGTCTTTGTGAATTTATCATTTAAATATTTAAGGAATATGATACTTATGAATACAATTTTTGTTGTATAAGGAATCATTTTAATTGCAATTTATCATTCAATTACATAAAAATCTTTGACATCTAAAAGTCTTTGATCTGTTTAAATCTGTGTATACCATTATTAGACCATCAGTCGAGGATTGTCCCCTTACGTATACCTCTATCAATGTTAATCAATTAGAGTTTATTGTAATAAACTATAAATAGTAAATGTACCCAGCTTATATACATCACAGTGTTTGGCTGACAGACCAGTTGTAAAGGATTTCTTATCTTACAAATCTATGGGTAACAATAAACATGTATTTCATTTTACAAACACAAAACCTGTTCCTCAGGAAAGAGGAGACTAACCCTTGTAGCTGTGGGAGAAATTAACACATGTTTGACAAATAGATGATAGAACACATGACAAATACATTGTAGCTCACTTGACAGTTGTATTGTAACACACTTGATAAATACATTGTAACACACTTGATACATACATTGTAACACACTTGATAAATACATTGCAATACACTTGATAAATAAACACTTGATAAATACATTGTGACACACTTGATAAATTCATTGTAACACACTTGATAAATACATTGTGAAATGCATAAAACATTGTAATACACATATTAAATGCATTGTAACACACGTGATAAATACATTTCAATACACGTATTAAATACATTGTAATTCACTTGATAAATACATTGTGAAACACACGTTATAAAAACATTGTAACACACTTGATATACATTGTAACACACATATTAAATACATTGTAATACACTTGATAAATACATTGTAACACACATATTAGATACTTTGTAATACACTTGATTCATACATTGTAACTTGCATATTAATTACACTGTAATACACTTAATAAATACATTGTAACACATATTAAAAACATTGTTATATAATTGATAAATATATTGTAATACACATGATAAATACATTGTAATACACTTGACAGATACATTGTTGTAATTAATTTGCTCAATGTATACAACGCAACAAACTTTGATAGGTACATTGTAACAATTTGCTCAGTAGATACAATGTAACACATGTGCCGGATACATTGTGTGCTCTTCATTGTTTACAAATTGTTCTGTCATAAGGTACATCCTATGTAACGCTGAACTACATACAATCTCAGTAATGTTATGTGTTCGTGAGCAACAGGAAGGATAGGAGTGTACCACCGTGATCAAGTACACAATTTCTATTTTGTGATACTGACAAGCAACGTACATGTCTAGGTTGGTCTGAGTTCATCCATTCATATCATTTATTTGTTTATGTTACTTTATTGCCTTATACATTAACATGTTTGTACTTTCATTTCCTGTCTAGGACAAAAAAATGGGGCTAAAAACTTAACACGTCAGCTATTTGTATATTTGCCTATTTAGATGGAAGCCACGTTTCATTTATAATTGTTCTTTATTCAGTGACTGACTAGATAAGGGTTAACAGACACTTGTATGAGTTGTACGTATACTGTGGTGCTATGCTGCTGCAACCTCGAAGCAACAAAGTTTAGGGTGGAGGGTAGGGGTTATACTGGAATTTGTCAGTATAATGAACTATTCCAACCCTTGAATTGGAAGAGTTCGTATGTGTCTTCAGGGGTGAATGATCTATCAGAATGTTTATACATATATAAACACATAACTTTAAAACTTTAAATGAAGATGATGTGAATCAGTGGATGTGAAACTGTTATTACATTGTGACACAATATCAGAGTTATGTCCCTTTAGTCACTCGATCTGTCCGACATCGTATTTCTCCTACCAATTCAAGTAATATCATTCACAATAAGTCGCTCTATATAAACAGATTGTAATTTGGTTGTAAATGTTTCCAGCTAGCTGCAGTTTATCCTAAGGAGACTTTAGAAAGACTTTACATTTAGCTCTATATCTATTTTTTAGCTCACCTGGTCCAAAGGACCATGGTTAGCTAATGCCATACCACACGGTCCTTTGTCCATCGTCCATCCGTCAACTTTTCCTTTAAAACGCTACTAGTCCTAAACGGCCAAGTTGATTTTGATTAAATTCCGTCTGGAGCATCCTTCTGCCAAGGGGACTTAATTTTGTATAAATGGTGGGTGTGGCCCCCCCGGGGGCAGAGGGGCGGGGCCAAATAATGAAAATAGGGATAAAACCTTTAAAATCCTTCTACTACCATAGGGATAAAGGGATTTGATCCTAATTTACTCTGCAGCATCAGCTGGCTAAGGAGACTCACTTTTGTATAATCAGTGGGTGTGGCCTCCCTGGGGGCAGAGGAGGGGGGGGGGGCGCAAATAGGGGAAATAGAGGTAAAAGCTTTAAAATCCTTCTTCTATCAAAGGGATTAATAGGATTTTATCCTAATTTAGTCTGGAGCATATTTGGGCCAAGGGTACTCAATTTTGTATCAACGGTGGGTATGGCCCCTCTGGGGGCAGGGCCGAATAGGAGAAATAGAGGTAAAACTTTTAAGATCTTTTTTCTATCGTAGGGATTAGGGGATTTTTACCTTATTTAGTCTGGAGCATCCTTAGGCCAAAGGGACTCAATTTCATATAAACAGTGGGTGTGGTTCCCTTTGGGGCAGAGGGGTGGGGCAGAATAGGGGAAATAGAGGTAAAACCTTTAAAAGCCTTCTTCTACCGTCGTAGGGATTAAGGGATTTTATCCTGATTTTGTTTGGAGCATTCTTGGGCCAAGGGGACTCAGTTTTGTATACACGGTGGGTTTGGACGCACTGTGGGAAATAGAGGTAAAAAGCTTTGAAACCCTTCTTCTACCATAGGAAATAAGAGATTTTATCCCAATTTAGCCTGGATCATCGATCCTTCGGCAAAGGGAACTAAATTTGTATAAACGAAGGGTGAGGCCCCTCTGGGTGCTGAGAGTTGTGGGGCCAAATAGGTAAATTCAAGGTTTTAATCTTTAAAATCTTCCTTCTCCATAAGAGAAATATTATGTAATAAGAATAATTTCCCATGGTTGCTTTATTATCCAGGTGAGTGATACAGGCCCTCTGAAGGGCCTCTTGTTAAGGCAGTTCTATAAGATATGTTTGCTCTTTGTGTTATACAGATGGTGAACTAAGAAAGGTGCTGAACATTGATTACTGAGGAAGCTGATCAGGATGACATCCACGATACACGTATCCTACCTGTTGTTAATCGTCGGTATTCTAGCTTGGTGTGCGACAGCATGGGTTGATTCTACACCTCGTCGACCGAACCGGAGGAAGAACAAACAGACCAAACCAAACATTATAGTGATCATGACTGACGACCAGGACATACTTCTGGGTAAATTAGTACTTTCTCCCACCCTTCACAGGTGTGTCTTCCGTTTTAGCCGGGAAAGATCAGCTTGTCACCCCTAGGGGGAGACAGCCTTGTGCCGATTAGCACGTGTTCAATAGAGACGTCATTAAAATGTGTTACCGGTAATTGTGATGTTATGAAAATGTGTCACCGGTTATTGTGACGTCCTCAAAAGTGAATGACGATTATTCATACTCCACATGTGTTTTTGTTTACACTACTGTCAGTGGAGTTGTGACTGAAATAAAAGGATGGGAGAAAAATAATCATACCCTACCTTAAGGGTGTAACAGAGAAATTTCGGCAGAGCCTTGGGTTAAAAAAACAAAACACATCACCTCTCGGGCTGGAGATTTCTCTGTCACACCCTTAAGGTAGGGGAAGATTCTATTAGTCCTTAACAAGTGTGGGGATGGACACTGACTAGAACTGTACGTGGTCAGTCAAAGAGCTGTCTGTAATGTACAAATGATGGACACAGACTGTACATGGTCAGTCAAAGTGCTGTCTGTAATGTACAAATAATGGACACCGACTGTACATGGTCAGTCAAAGTGCCGGCTGTAATGTACAAATGATGGACACTGACTGTACATGGTCACTCAAAGTGCTGTCTGTAATGTACAAATGATGGACACTGACTGTACATGGTCACTCAAAGTGCTGTCTGTAATGTACAAATGATGGACACAAACTGTACGTGGTCAGTCAAAGTGCTGTCTGTAATGTACAAATGATGGACACTGACTGTACATGGTCACTCAAAGTGCTGTCTGTAATGTACAAATGATGGACACCGACTGTACATGGTCAGTCAAAGTGCCGGCTGTAATGTACAAATGATGGACACTGACTGTACATGGTCACTCAAAGTGCTGTCTGTAATGTACAAATGATGGACACCCTCTGTCACACCCTTAAGGTAGGGGAAGATTCTATTAGTCCTTAACAAGTGTGGGGCTGGACACTGACTAGAACTGTACGTGGTTAGTCAAAGAGCTGTCTGTAATGTACAAATGATGGACACAGACTGTACGTAGTCAGTCAAAGTGCTGTCTGTAATGTACAAATGATGGACACTGACTGTACATGGTCACTCAAAGTGCTGTCTGTAATGTACAAATGATGGACACCGACTGTACGTGGTTAATCAAAGTGCTGTCTGTAATGTACAAATAATGGACACCGACTGTACATGGTCAGTCAAAGTGCCGTCTGTAATGTACAAATGATGGACACTGACTGTACATGGTCACTCAAAGTGCTGTCTGTAATGTACAAATGATGGACACTGACTGTACATGGTCACTCAAAGTGCTGTCTGTAATGTACAAATGATGGACACCGACTGTACGTGGTTAATCAAAGTGCTGTCTGTAATGTACAAATAATGGACGCCGACTGTACGTGGTCAGTCAAAGTGCTGTCTGCAATGTACAAATAATTGACACCGACTGTACGTGGTCAGTCAAAGTGCTGTCTGCAATGTACAAATGATGGACACAGATTGTACGTGGTCAGTCAAAGTGCTGTCTGTAATGTACAAATGATGACACAGACTGTACGTGGTCAGTCAAAGAGCTGTCTGTAATGTACAAATGATGGACACTGACTGTACATGGTCAGTCAAAGTGCCGTCTGTAATGTACAAATGATGGACACCGACTGTACGTGGTTAATCAAAGTGCTGTCTGTAATGTACAAATAATGGATGCCGACTGTACGTGGTTAGTCAAAGTGCTGTCTGCAATGTACAAATAATGGACACCGACTGTATGTGGTCAGTCAAAGGGCTGTCTGTAATGTACCAATGATTGGCACCGACTGTACGTGGTCCGTCAAAGAGCTGTCTGGAATGTACAAATAATGGACACCGACTGACCACGTACACTCGGTGTCCATCATTTGTCCATTACAGACAGCACTGTGACTGATCAAGTACAGTCGGCATCCCCATCATTTGTACATCACAGACAGCACTTTGTCTGACCATGTACAGTCGATGTCCATCATTTGTAGATTACAGACAGCACTTTGATTAACCACGTACAGTCACTGTCCATCATTTGTACGTTAACGTACAGTCGGCGTCCATTATTAGTACATTACAGACAGCGCTTTGACTGACCATGTCCAGTCGGTGTCCATCTTTTGTACATCACCGAAAGCACTTTGACTGACCTTGCACAGGCGGTGTCCATTATTTGTATATTACAGACAGCACTTCGACTGACCATGTACAGACATTACAGACAGCACTTAGACTGACCATGTACAATCAGTGTCCATCATTCGTACATTACAGACAGCGTTTTGGCTGACCATGTACAGTCAGTATTTGTACATTACATACAGCACTTTGACTGCCCACGTACAGTCGGCCTCCATTATTTGTACATTGCAGACAGTACTTTGACTAACATTACAGGCAGCACTTTGACTGATCAAGTACAGTCTGTGTCAACATTTGTACATTTCAGACAGCACTTTGATTGACCATGTACAGTCACGTACAGTCTATGTCCATTATTTGTATATTACAGACAGCACTGTGACTGATCAAGTACAGTTTGTGTCATCATTTGTACGTTTCAGACAGCACTTTGACTTGTACATTACAGACTGTACGTGGTCAGCCAAAGTGCTGTCTGCACTGTACAAATGATGGAGACCGACTGTACGTGGCCAGTCAGAGAGCTGTCTGCAATATACAAATGATGGACAGTGACTGTACGTGGTTAGGCAAAGTGCTGTCTGCAATGCACAAATAATGGACACCGACTGTATGTGGTCAGTCAAGGTGCTGTCTGTAATGAACAAATGATGGACACAGACTGACCACGTACAGTAGCACTTTGACTGACCGCGTACAGTCGGTGTCAATTCTTTGTACATTGCAGACAGTACTTTGACTAACATTACAGACAGCACTTCGACTGACCATGTACAGTCACGTACAGTCTATGTCCATTATTTGTATATTACAGACAGCACTGTGACTGACCACGTACCGCCTGTGTCATCATTTGTACGTTAACGTACAAATGATGGACAATGACTGTACGTGGTCAGCCAAAGTGCTGTCTGCAGTGTACAAATAATGGAAACTGACTGTACGTGGTTAGGCAAAGTGCTGTCTGCAATGCACAAATAATTGACACCGACTATACGCGGTCAGTCAAAGAGCTTTCTGTAATGTATAAATGATGGACACTGAGGGTACATGGTCAGTCAAGGTGCTGTCTGTAATGTCTGTACATGGTCAGTCGAAGTGCTGTCTGCAAGGTACAAATAATTGACCCCGACTGTACGTGGTAAGTCAAAGAGCTGTCGGTGATGTACAAATGATGGAGACCGACTGTACGTGGTACAAATAATGGACCCCGACTGTACGTGGTCCGTCAAAGTGCTGTCTTCAATGTACAAATGATGAACACTGACTGTACATGGTCAGCCAAAGTGCTGTCTGCAATATACAAATGATGACACAAACTGTACTTGATCAGTCACAGTGCTGTCTGTAATCTACAAATGATGGACAGTGACTGTACGTGGTTAGGCAAAGTGCTGTCTGCAAGGTACAAATAATTGACCCCGACTGTACGTGGTCTGTCAAAGAGCTGTCTGGAATGTACAAATGATGCCACAGACTGTACATGGCCAGTCAAAGTGCTGTCGGAAATGTACAAATGATTGACACCGACTGTACGCGGTCAGTCAAAGTGCTTTCTGTAATGTATAAATGATGGACACTGTCTGTACCTGGTCAGTCAAAGAGCTTTCTGTAATGTATAAATGATGGACACTGAATGTACATGGTCAGTCAAGGTGCTGTCTGTAATGTTAGTCAAAGTACTGTCTGCAATGTACACATAATTGACACCGACTATACGCGGTCAGTCAAAGAGCTTTCTGTAATGTACAAATGAAGGACACCGACTGTACCTTGTCAGTGAAAGTGCTGTCTGGAATGTACAAAAAATGGACACTGACTGTATGTGGTCAGTCAAGGTGCTTTCTGTAATGCACAAATGATGGACACAGACTGTCCGTGGTCAGTCAAAGAGCTGTGTGTAATGTACAAGTAATAGACGCCGACTGTACGTTAATGTACAAATGATTACACAGACTGTACATCGTCAGTCAAAGTGCTTTCTGTAATGTATAAATGATGGACACTGAATGTACATGGTCAGTCAAGGTGCTGTCTGAAATGTCCAAATGATGACACAGGCGGTACGTGGTCAGTCAAGGTGCTGTCTGTAATGGACAAATGATGGACACAGACCGTACGTGGTCAGTCAATGAGCTGTCTGTAATGAACAAATAATGGATGCCGACTGTAGGTGGTTAGTCAAAGTCCTGTCTGCAATGTACACATGATGGACACTGACTGTATGTGGTCAGTCAAGGTGCTGTCTGAAATGTCCAAAGGAGGACACAGACTGTACACTGTCTGTAATGTACGAATGATGGACACTGATTGTACATGGTCAGTCAACGTGCTGTCTGTAATGTGCTGTCTGTAATGGACAAATGATGGACACAGACCGTACGTGGTCAGTCAAGGTGCTGTCTGAAATGTCCAAATGATGACACAGACTGTACACTGTCTGTAATGTACGAATGATGGACACTGAGGGTACATGGTCAGTCAAAGAGCGGTCTGTAATGTACAACTGATGGACACCGACTGGACATGGTCAGTCAAAGAGCTTTCTGTAATGTACAAATGATTGACACCGACTGTACGCGGTCAGTCAAAGTGCTTTCGGTGATGTACAAATGATGGCACAGAGTGTACATGGTCAGTCAAGGTGCTGTCTGTAATGTGCTGTCTGTAATGTACGAATGATGGACACTGATTGTACATGGTCAGTCTAAGTGCTGTCTGTAATGTCTGTACATGGTCAGTCGAAGTGCTGTCTGCAATATACAAATGATGGACAATGACTGTACGTGGTCAGTCAAAGTGCTGTCTGAAATGTACAAATGATGACACAGACTGTACATGGTCAGTCAAAGTGCTTTCTGTAATGTACAAATGATGGACACTGACTGTACGTGGTTAGTCAAAGTGCTGTCTGTAATGTACAAATAATGGACATAGACTGTACGTGGTCAGTCAAAGTGCTGTCTGTAATGTACAAATGATGGACACCGACTGTACGTGGTCAGTCAAAGTGCTGTCTGCAATGTACAAATGATGGCCACCGACTGTACGTGGTCAGTCAAAGTGCTGTCTGTAATGTACAAATGATGGACACCGACTGTACATGGTCAGTCAAAGTGCTGTCTGTAATGTACAAATGATGGACACCGACTGTACGTGGTCAGTCAAAGTGCTGTCTGTAATGTACAAATGATGGACACCGACTGTACGTGGTCAGTCAAAGTGCTGTCTGTAATGTACAAATGATGGACACCGACTGTACGTGGTCAGTCAAAGTGCTGTCTGTAATGTACAAATGATGGACACCGACTGTACGTGGTCAGTCAAAGTGCTGTCTGTAATGTACAAATGATGGACACCGACTGTACGTGGTCAGTCAAAGTGCTGTCTGTAATGTACAAATGATGGACACCGACTGTACGTGGTCAGTCAAAGTGCTGTCTGTAATGTACAAATGATGGACACCGACTGTACGTGGTCAGTCAAAGTGCTGTCTGTAATGTACAAATGATGGACACCGACTGTACGTGGTCAGTCAAAGTGCTGTCTGTAATGTACAAATGATGGACACCGACTGTACGTGGTCAGTCAAAGTGCTGTCTGTAATGTACAAATGATGGACACCGACTGTACGTGGTCAGTCAAAGTGCTGTCTGTAATGTACAAATGATGGACACCGACTGTACGTGGTCAGTCAAAGTGCTGTCTGTAATGTACAAATGATGGACACCGACTGTACGTGGTCAGTCAAAGTGCTGTCTGTAATGTACAAATGATGGACACCGACTGTACGTGGTCAGTCAAAGTGCTGTCTGTAATGTACAAATGATGGACACCGACTGTACGTGGTCAGTCAAAGTGCTGTCTGTAATGTACAAATGATGGACACCGACTGTACGTGGTCAGTCAAAGTGCTGTCTGTAATGTACAAATGATGGACACCGACTGTACGTGGTCAGTCAAAGTGCTGTCTGTAATGTACAAATGATGGACACCGACTGTACGTGGTCAGTCAAAGTGCTGTCTGTAATGTACAAATGATGGACACCGACTGTACGTGGTCAGTCAAAGTGCTGTCTGTAATGTACAAATGATGGACACCGACTGTACGTGGTCAGTCAAAGTGCTGTCTGTAATGTACAAATGATGGACACCGACTGTACGTGGTCAGTCAAAGTGCTGTCTGTAATGTACAAATGATGGACACCGACTGTACGTGGTCAGTCAAAGTGCTGTCTGTAATGTACAAATGATGGACACCGACTGTACGTGGTCAGTCAAAGTGCTGTCTGTAATGTACAAATGATGGACACCGACTGTACGTGGTCAGTCAAAGTGCTGTCTGTAATGTACAAATGATGGACACCGACTGTACGTGGTCAGTCAAAGTGCTGTCTGTAATGTACAAATGATGGACACCGACTGTACGTGGTCAGTCAAAGTGCTGTCTGTAATGTACAAATGATGGACACCGACTGTACGTGGTCAGTCAAAGTGCTGTCTGTAATGTACAAATGATGGACACCGACTGTACGTGGTCAGTCAAAGTGCTGTCTGTAATGTACAAATAATGGACGCCGACTGTACGTGGTCAGTCAAAGTGCTGTCTGTAATGTACAAATGATGACACAGACTGTACGTGGTCAGTCAAAGTGCTGTCTGTAATGTACAAATGATGGACACAGACTGTACGTGGTCACTTATTTCTAGAGATTATCTCAAGAATGTGTCCAAATTTTGCTGCTGGAAGAAGGGGTATTTAAAGTAACATTTGTACATTAATTCTTTCTTCCACAAATTTGCTTGTTATTATTATTATCCTTTTGAATCTACCGGTAAAATATTTCAGTACTGAATAAGCAGATTTTCACCATTTCATACTTAAAATTTTGTTTTTATTCACATGCAGATTGCACCGGTAGTAATGTTCTAGTGGCTAAGAAATGTTCTGTCTGTTAAATGCACATTTCTTGTTGTTAAGTTTTCTTAATATGTTACTGTACCTCTACCCCCTTCACCATTTTCAGGGTCAATGGAGGTCATGCCTAAGACCTTAAGAATTATGCGTGACCAGGGCCTAGAATTCAACAATTCCTTTGTGTCCTCGCCGATGTGTTGCCCTTCGCGGTCATCGTTCCTCACAGGACTGTATCCTCACAATCACAATGTGTACACTAACAATGAGAATTGTTCCGGGGACTACTGGATACAGAACCATGAACCGAACACCTTCGCCACCTACCTCAACAATGCAGGATATCGTACAGGTAAACACTTGTACCATGATGAATCGCTATTATTAATCCTCCAATGGTATTTCAGTGGACACTATAATTTGTGATTCGTTTGTTTGTTAGTCAGTCTCTCAGTGTATCTTTTTGTCCGGGCATATATATATCTCATATACTTCAGTTATCGCCTACAAATGCCAAATTTTATGTGAGTAAAGCTATAAGGATGGCACATTGTCACATACTGAAATCAGGTCTTGTGCATCGTTAGATAAATGAGTTATGGCATGGCCCATTGTTTATAACGGTGATCCATGAGTATTGGCCCTTTATTTTTAACAGTGATACATTAGTTATGGCCTTTTGTTTTTAACAGTGATACATGAGTTATGGCCCTTTGTTTTTAACAGTGATACATTAGTTATGGCCCTTTGTTTTTAACAGTGATACATGAATTATGGCCCTTTATTTTAACAGTGATACATGAGTTATGGCCTTTTATTTATAACAGTTCTACTTGAGTATTGGCCCTTTGTTTTTAACAGTGATATATGAGTTATGAGTACAATGAACACCATACATTGAATGATGTAAAAGTAAGGTAAAGTAATGTTACAACAGATGACCAGACTAGGATAGCTAAGTAGACAAATCCTAAAGTATGACTAATAACGACTGCAAAAATAGAGGGACATTATTATGGTTCTGTCAGGAAAATGCTTACAGAAAGAATGATGATTCACATTCATCACATGCTACCAGATGTGTTACGATGTTATGTTTTGTAAAGATAGTATACTGATTATGAATACCTGGTATCTATTTTAAAAAAGCACATTTTACAGCACACTGTTCCTATGAGTGGTCTGTATTGTACTGATCTTGCGTCCGACAGATGCTGTTACCTGGTTTCCTTAAATTATTGAGTGTGGAGAAATTAAATTATGTGTTAATTCATTATGTTCTCCACCTTTTGAAGTATGATAGGGGTTTTCTTATAACACTGATACGAGGCTAAGATTACTTGTTGTTTGATACAAACTTCTGGATTGAAATTGTTGACAATGTACCAGTAGCTGTAATAAACATTATAGGTAGTAGTTTGTCATGCTGGAAATTTTGTTGATCTCTCGTAGGTAGTTAGTGGTTGAACTCCAAACTTGACCTACATGGGGCAGTCACCAGGTACTGGCCATAGGTCGGTGGTTTTTCTCCAGGAACTCCAGGTTTCCTCCACCACCGAAACCTTGTACAACCTTAAATGACCATATATAGCCGTACAAACTAACCAAAAGTATATTTGCCAAGGGGAATAACTCTTATTCTTTATTGTTGCATGGTTTTGATGAAGTTCGTTTCCAACACCCTTAAATCCAGTAATATTTATACTGCTCCTCACCTTATTGGAGCTGCTAAGTTTTCCAGATATTAAGTTTGTCTTTGATATTGAATTGTTGCTGTTTTCAGGCTATTTTGGTAAATACCTGAACAAATATAACGGTTCCTATATACCCCCTGGTTGGCGGGAGTGGGTCGGACTGGTCCGCAACTCTCGTTTCTATAACTACTCCATCAACTTCAATGGGAACAAAATGGAACACGGTGACAATTACTACGGTGACTACCTAACAGATCTCATTGCCAACGACAGTGTGACCTTCCTAAAACAGAGCAAGGAGTACTTCAAACGCAGGTAAGGGCGGCAGTTATAGCTAGCAGGTAGGCCTGCAGTTATAGCTAGCAGGTAGGCCCGCAGTTATAGCTAGCAGGTAAGCCAGCAGTTAATAGCTAGCAGGTAGTCCAGCAGTTATAGCTAGCAGGTAGGCCCGCAGTTATAGCTAGCAGGTAGGCCCACAGTTATAGCTAGCAGGTAGTCCAGCAGTTATAGCTAGCAGGGAGGCCTGCAGTTATAGCTAGCAGGTAGTCCAGCAGTTATAGCTAGCAGGTAGGCCCGCAGTTATAGCTAGCAGGTAGGCCCACAGTTATAGTTAGCAGGTAGGCCTGCAGTTATAGCTAGCAGGTAGGCCTGCAGTTATAGCTAGCAGGTAGGCCCACAGTTATAGCTAGCAGGTAGACCCACAGTTATAGCTAGCAGGTAGGCCCACATTTATAGCTAGCAGGTAGGCCCACAGTTATAGTTAGCAGGTAGGCCCATAGTTATAGCTAGCAGGTAAGCCTGCAGTTATAGCTAGCAGGTAGGCCCACATTTATAGCTAGCTATAACTATGGGCCTACCACTTACCTGTGTAAGGTGTATACACCTTACACAGGTAAGTTATGTTTACACCTTACACTGGTAAGTTATATATACACCTTACACAGGTAAGTTATGTTTACACCTTACACTGGTAAGTTATGTTTACACCTTACACAGGTAAGTTATATATACACCTTGCACTGGTAAGTTATATATACACCTTACACTGGTAAGTTATGTTTACACCTTACACAGGTAAGTTATACCCACATTTATAGCTAGCAGGTAGGCACACAGTTATAGTTAGCAGGTAGGCCCTTAGTTATAGCTAGCAGGTAGACCCGCAGTTATAGCTAGCAAGTAGGCCCACAGTTAAAGCAAGCAGGTAGGCCAGTAGTTATAGCTAGCAGGGAGGCCTGCAGTTATAGCTATCAGGGAGGCCTGCAGTTATAGCTAGCAGGTAGGCCCACAGTTATAGCTAGCAGGTAGGCCAGTAGTTATAGCTAGCACGAAGGCCTACAGTTATAGCTAGCAGGGAGGCCAGCAGTTATAGCTAGCAGGTAGGCCAGTAGTTATAGCTAGCAGGTAGGCCCACAGTTTTTGAAATATTCGTGAATAAAACTTACAGGCATAGTTTGAGAAAAAGGGTAGGTGGGACAATAACATCATTTGCAGCTGCTTAAAATTAAACTTTCGAACACCTATAACTGATACATGACTCTCCAAAGGCAAAACTCAAACCTCATGCAGAAATATTGAATTTTGTTAGTATTTTATTTGACATTTTCGGATCTTCTGCCATATTTAGATATAAGTTTGATTGATCACATGCCCTGTGTATCCACCCACATATAACGACTGGCTAGTGGCTTTAATCTTCATTTCTGTTGATTGTCTTCTGTGACAGTTCAGAAGCCTGATATATATTGTTAGTTAATACACACTGTTGTTTGTAGGCCCGTACTTATGGTCCTCAGTACTCCCGCTCCACATGGTCCAGAAGACTCTGCCCCACAGTACCAGCATCTCTTCTACAACAACACCTTACACAGGTAAGTTTGTTTGTTTGTTTGTTTGATTTTGTTTAACGTCCTATTAACAGCTAAGGTCATTTAAGGACGGCCTCCCCTGGGTGCAAGATGCATGCGTGTAGTGTATGTGTGTGTATATTGGGAGGCTGCGATATGTTCGTGTTTGTCTCCTTGTGATAGCGCGAAACTGATGCCGACTTTATAGTGCTACCTCACTGAAACATTCTGCCGAAGACACC